GTGTGTGTGTGTGTGTGTGTGTGTGTGTGTGTGTGTGTGTGTGTGGTTTATTTATTAATTTTTTACCATCAGACTTGTTGAACCAACCAAGGCACCTCCAGTTTTACACACATGGGTCTAATTTACATCGTGGCTAATATTATGAAATGTTCTGTGCATGCACTCACCATACAGATTGTTATTGTTGCTCTGTCTCACTTCTGTCTCCTGTTTTGTCTTGGTTCAATTGGCCTGCTCGGACTTGGATCATTGCCTGCCTGCCTGCCTGCCTGCCTGCCTGTGTGTGTTCATGTCCTCTTCCTGCACTACCAACTTTGTCATCACCCCACCATCTGAAGGCTATGAGAAATCCCGGAGTCTAAACAACATAGCAGTCATGACCAGTATGGCTGGTAACACCCTGAGGTTGTCTCCTGTGACCTCGCCCTATGGATCACCTTGCCTGCTGCGCCGCTCTCGCTCGCCTATTCCATCCATCCTATGAGACATCCACTTTTTGCCTGCTTTCCACACCAACATCCTAGACCCCCATAGATCACTTGCCTTTGGCAACATACCTGAAGTCAGCTCAATATGTGTCTGTAAGATAAGTAGCTAACACTGTAGCTCAGATTAAAGTTAAGAAGCCTGGGAAATTAAGCAAGTTTGTCTTTTTACACATGAAGGTACATGCTTGACTAACATCACTAAGTAACTTCATTGCTCTGCTGTCACTTGGAGTTTCCTTTAGTTTGATGTTCTACTTTGAGACTTGCAATAAACTGCTGGCTTCAGAGGTAGCAGCCATACACATTTAATTYATATGAATAATCAGGGAYAGTAGATGTTGCTCTATGTAGATAMTTTGAAAAAGATATGCTTCCAAARAACAAGGAGCCTGAAAGAGACTGGAACTTAATTTGAAGATTTGGCAGATCTGTCACAATTTAACTATCAGTTCACCCAAACATTCGGTCTTGTCTCTTTTCAAAAGTGACTAAACCTGCTTGTGTTTCTGCATGGATCATCAAGCAGCCTTCTTTGGTAAACAATGTGGTTAGGCGAAGGAAAGCTAAATGMTTTATATCACATTTATTCAAAGTTTTATCAATTCATTGTAGTGAATTTATGTTCACTTTTTTTTTCTTTGACCAAGTGCCAACAAACCTAAGTGTTTTTGGTTGTTTACTAACAGACAACTGCAAAGAGGTGGTTTTTACTGGTTTCACACAAGCAGAGAGCCGYGTTCTATCTTAATGGCTTTGGAGGAAGGAACAACCATGGCAAACAGGTAATCATATGAAACAGTACCAAACTGAGAATCATGCATTATTCAAAACTTGTGTGTGCCCATAAAGACAAGAACAACCATAGAGCATGTTATCTGCATCTATTTAGCAACAGAAGTGCCTAGACCGGCTGTGGGCCGGAGGGCTGGGTAGAGGTGTTGGTGCAGGTCTTGAAGGCATTTCATAATAATGATCCAGTGAAATCATKACTTTCATTTCTGTTTCTTTACCTCTGAATGACTTGTCAATCAATGTTTTTGATTTGGTGATCAATTTACATTTTTTTTCTTTAGATAAAACAAAAACAGAAATTTGCTTAAGATTTTTTTATTTTAATGTGCAGTAACTGTTGCCATTCTTCACCGGAAGAGAAAATTAGGAATAATTTTCATGACATGTCTGCAGTTTCTCTGTGAAGGCAACAACAYAACATGCAGCTGAACTTTATCCCCTTTTCCTACAAATAACTAAAGCTTTCAGAAGGCAGTTGAATATTTGATGCAAAATACATACTGCACACTGCCGTGGTCTTTAAAAAGATGAGTTTATCCACAGGCAGTTATTTAAAAAAATACTGTGGATTTCCTTCTAAATGGATGCAAAAAATTTCATTGATGTAGACCAGGGGTGCCCAAACATTTTCCCYGARAGGGTCAAAATTAAAATCAATCTGAGGGCTGCGGGCCAAATTTTTTTAAATTATTTTTTTCAGCCMATGGACATGGAGAAAATTCAACATATGCTCGGGCAGCAAAGGCTCATGAAACTTTTCATAATTTAAAATTTGAGTTTGTGTGGTCTTATAAAGTGTGCAAATCTAGGTATGGTCTTAAATCTAATCTAAATGTCTCTTGTAGTTACTTGTATTTTATATTTAATCTTAACATAATTACAATCTAGTAACCGCTGGTGGGCCAAATCAAATGGCTTGGGAGGCCAATTTTGGCCCGCGGGCCCCACTTTGAGTGCCTCTGATGTTGACAGACCAATGTGTTTGCACCTTTTTGTTGAAAAAAAAAACACAAAGCRACATGAAACTGACAAAAGTAATAACAAAACTACAAATTTACTAATAAAAATATGCCGTTTCTTTTGAATTTTGGTTCAGGGAGAATCATTTTATGTAGCAAACAAAACTGAACAAAAAATATGGAAAACATAACTTAATATTAAGTTGTGCAAAGTTTTCAAGTGATCAAGGCATTTCTGTAGCCATCTCTGAGACTCCTTCACCTGTCCACAGGTACAGGACCGTCTCTGAGGATGTTTTTTAATGGGTTTTATTAGATGATTTTCAGTAACTTTTATCCTTATTTTTATGTAAATTTTAAGGTATTTTAGCAACCTTAGTAGGGTTTTCTTTTTCTTTTTCTTAGGAACTGGTCTTACTCCAGATAGACAGGACCTGAATTCATACCAAATAGCTCCCAAGATTTATTTGATATGAATTAAAGTGAATCAGTGGAAAGAAGTGTTGTGTTACTGTTTTAACTGTTGCAGTGCAACAGGTAGGTTTACACACAGCCTCTGCACAACAACGGGTGAGGGGCAGCAGTCTGCCTCACCCCTCCCTAAAGTCTGTCTATACAAGTAGCACAAGGTTGCTTAGCAACTGGCTCATAGCAAGATGTATCTAAAACTCAGTTCACCAAAAAAAATTAAAAAAAAAAAAAAACAGCTCCTGCTCACTTTGTCTTCACACCTAAACATGATAATGTCACCTGAAACCACAGCAATGTAAAAGTGTGTTTTTATAGTCTTGGCTGTAAGCGCTTGTCACATCATCAACTTGTAATGTTCTTTGTTTTTGTGCATTTAACACAACTGATMCGTGCATGGCAATGTCGTCTGAAATGACGCAGGCAGAGAATATGTTCCTTTTATTTGGAGAGATGTTTACGTTTTAGTTAGATCATTCAGAACCTGTTTGATCAGACTGTGATTAGTATTGACAACCTGTTGCAGTGGAGGAGCGCTTTTGGAGGCCGCTCTGACTGGACAGCGTGGCAGAGGACACAGAAGCTGCAGAGCAACAGCCACACAGCTCGAGGCTCGGCCAGCAGGGGAGGAGCCAACGGTCAAAAAAGAACTCTGGAAAGGCTTCAATAGGCCTTCGCATTTTCTTGAGTTGGTCTTTTTTGTTGTTGTTGTTCCTTTTTAAAGAACAGGTGGTGGGAAAAAAACAACTGGACAAGAGACTATCTGCATGATAGACATTGCTCCTGTGAATATAAAAAACACGGCAGCACAAGTGGCTTTGTTCTCACATCAAGGTGGTTGCTAAGTTGCACCGTGGTATTTAACATCAGTCAATTTTCTTGTGGTATCCTCCCTTCCTCTCAATAAGTGTATTAAGATGTATCAATCGAGGCACTTTGTTTAGCGTATTCATATAGGAACCTCTAATTAAGGCATACACAGTGTAGAGAGACAAATGTGTTCAGTTAAATCTGACACCACAATCATCACTGCTTTTGTTTTGATTGTTAAGTTATTTACTCTGCTGTGCATTAAACGTGTGTGTTGTGATATGTAAAGCAGGTAAGCGAAGATCTGTGAGAGGTCATGATGCCAAATCTTCCAGTTTGTTTTAGCACAAACCTGAAGAAAAATCTCCCCTATGGTGCAGCAGCTATTGTAGAAGTCCTCTTTCTTGTACCTTAAACATGCAACTACCCTGCATTCGTGCTGCACGTTAGTCTTTTTACAAACCAAACTATTCTTACCGGAATAATCCTAACAACTCCTGGTGGCTATTAAAAACACAACTGCATAACTTGATTCTTCCAAAACCTTTTCCCCATGTGGGAATGGAGCAAAAGTGTAGCAGAAATCTATCAAGTTATACAGCAGGACTTCTAGAATGGCTACTATCTGCACAGTAGCACTCTTGTGGACCCTAACAATTAGATCAGATTTGCAATATGTACCGATTCACACTGTGATTTCAGTAGCCCAATAAAAAACGGTGGAAAAGAAAGCAAAGCTGGGTGACACTGATCATTGACACAACTTCTGTGGCACGTTGGTAGCGACCTGCACAGGCTAGCTGTTCCAGATATCTTCTTGTTCCTCCTTGTGTAGTAAACACGCTGCTTTACTCTTTGATTTGTCAAAGGGATACTGTTCTTGTGTATTTCCAAACTGATGTTGTAACTTGAAAACAAAGGTGTTTGTTTTTTTGAACCCAAAACATGATTTTTGTGTCTGTAAAAGTCATGATAGTTTGATGCTGTGCTTCTCCATCCTGTCCTGAAACAGTCAAGCGTTTGATCCTGTTTTTGCAGGTTTTACTGTGGGGGAAATTCTAGGTTTAAGTGTGTATTTGTGCAGCCTTAAAGTGCATGCTGAAAAAATAACTCACAGTATTAAACTGTAAAAAAAAAAGACGATGACCTACTGTTTATCATGTATGTATAAAGTCATGTGAAAGTTTCACATAAACTATTTATCTTTTAACTGCTTGTCTTTTGTTGACTCATAAGAAATTAAGTATTTGGGTTTAATGAGGTAGTGTGAAGGTAACAACAAAGGCTTGTCGAAAATTAAAACATGTCTTTTATAGGTGGGTAATAATTGTGAGAAAAGGCCAAAAGGTTTATGTACAATCCAAGTTTTATGAAAAGGGGAAGAAGAATAAGTCTATCATCAACCTTAAACCATAAAATCACTCTAAAACAACAACTAAGTGCTAACCTTACAGCTTTGTTCTGAAAGATTTGCAATTTAGCTTGATCCTTTTTTGAGGCGCTGGACCACACAGCAGGACAGTAGTCTAGATGGCATAGAAGTAGGGACTGTATTACTAATTTTCTTATTCCAGTAGACATGAAACAATGGACATTACACCAAATTCGAGTAACATTTCTACTCATTTTAGTCACTAACTTTTGAATATGTGTGGACCATATTGTTTTATCAACTGTCACTCCCAACAGTTTGATTTCCTAAACTTGTTCAATTTGTTAGTTATTTAAAGAAATATCTAGCATTGGAGTTTGTCATAAAATACTTAAAACCCAATATCATACACTTGGGCCTCAATTTATCAAGATGGCAGATAACCATTACTGAATACCATGAGCTAATAAAAAAGTCCATTATAAAAGTGGGTGTGTTTCTTACAATTTACTAAGACTGCGTGCATAGAGAATAACAGATACAGTGGTGGTGAGGACCGCCCTATTGAAATGAGGATTTAGCATATGTCACTGATGGAGGCAAAGCACACACAACAAAATTCAGAGTTACAAGGAGGTTTTTAAATAGAACGGGGTTCAGCAACCATATCCAGCTCTTTCTGACAAATTAAAAAAGTAAGCTATTTTATCCTCTAGTATTTTGTGTGATCTGGTAATTATCTAATCTGCATATTCATGAAGGCAGACACGCTGAATGGGTTGTGGCTGCTCATTTGACAGATGCAGTTCTCGTTGCACACCATTAATAAATCAGCTTTGCATACCAATCAAGTTTGCTCATGGATTTATACGAAGTGTAAGTTTTCACCACGTTAAGTTTTAACCTGTTCTCTATTGCACACTCATAGACAGACAGTACTTCTTGTTGTAACATCTCATTTACCTGATCCAAACTATTTGACTATACTGTCGTACGATATGGTTATGTCATCTGCATAAACAATATGCTTTACTTAAAACATACGGCATGTCATTCACAAAAATACTATCAAGTAAAGGACCCAGGCAGCTGCCCTGTGGAATTCCCCATGAAAGGGTCAAAGCATTAGAACAAAAACATAACATATTGTTTCCTATTACATGGTAAATGGACTGAACTTAGAGCTWTATCAAGTCCTGTTGGACTCCAAAGTGCTTTACACTTAAATCATTCACCCATTTATATACAAATTCCCGCACTGATGGTGATAAGCTACATTGGGGCAGACTGACAGAGATGAGGTTGCCATGCACAGGTGCTATCAGGCTCTCTGACCACAAMGCAGCAAAGGTGAGTGACGTGTCTGCACTAAGAACACAATGAARCAGCATTACAGCAGTTACAGGACAACTCCCCTAACCACTCTTCCACAGCTGCCTATTATTATTTATCACATACATAACYATAAATAGAAGTAATATCTGATATTTAAAAGCCATTGATTGATATCTTCATAATATAAAAGCAGCACTGAAATCAAGAAACCCCTACCAACTCTCTTCTATTCATCTTAACCAATTATCACCTAGTATTTGTTCCTGCCAGGAGTTTATAATGTGGTCATTTTTAGCCCAAGATTTCATCCTCAGCTTTTTTTTTTTTTTTCAAAAGTCTTGTTATAGCGATAGGGGAAAAACGTGCATTTTAGCTTGTTGGTGTGTCTCACATCACTTTGAGTCTGCCAGAGGGAAGGCTGGTGAACAGAGTATCCTGGATGGTTGGGGTCCTTCAGAATCTTTGTGGCCCTTTGATGGAAAATGCTTGAGAAAGGAGAGGGGAGTCAATGACCCCCAAGTCATATTGATGACCCTCAGCAGCTGATTCCTCTCCTCTGCTGTGCAGCTGCCACCTCACACCGTGAGGACACTTTTTCTGATGCAACAATAGTTCCTCAGCAGATTTTTTTCCCTCTGTGCTAAATAAATGATTGATTAAATTAAATGTAYTAAATTAAATATAGTCCAAAAGATATGTTTCTGGGCTACATTCCTTCAGTGTGCARATGGAGGAACTTAAATAAAACTTGTGATCTGTTCCACCTCTAAATGCAGTGCAGACCTTGACTTCCATGTTCAAAGATTGCAAAGACCATTCCATTATGTAACCACACACACACCGGCTTGTGGGTAGTACATGTTAATGATGTTATATGTGTATATGTGTTTCAGTGGCAAGGGGAGCATGGGTAAAATGGGAAAACAGAARCGCACAAAGTTATGTTGGAAAATAACATTGTTTTTTAATGTAAAGAAACTCAAGCAGAATGAAGAATGCAAGTTGGGAACTATGTCAAGGTGAGTCAAAAACCTTTAATTACTGCACCAGTGATTCATAGAGAATCCCTTACAATTATTGTTTTGTTGATGTTGAGGTGGTTATTATTGAACCAAGCTGCCAGTGCCTGGACCTTCTCTCTGTAGTAAGCCTCTGCACGGTGCTCCCATTGAATGCGATACAGCTCCACAAAAGTTGGAAACTGACGACATGGGAACACAGAGAAGGAGCCCCGTTATGTTTAGAAAAGCAAAAAATAAAACAATCTGTGCGCAGCTGATGCATTTGTAGCCTACTGATTAAACAATTTTGTTCAGCTCTGATGAACATGACATTTTAATCAAAAAGAAAAAAATAAGTAGGTCCTCTGGATGGGTTCCAAACAGGGTTCCACAGAGCAATGTCCCCACAAACAKAGGAGCCAGGAAGAAAGAGGTCACACACAAGACAGGCCCTGGAGCAGTGCRGTTATCCTAACTGKGCTTTCCTGAAAGCAGACAAGAAACCCAAACAGGATTCCAGCCAACAACCAGGTGAAAATGAAGACCCTAAACCCAGAACCAAACCAGTCCTCATTCCATATGTGATGGGAGTTTCAGAGAAACTGAGACGTTTATTCTCTAAACATGATGTCCCAGTGGCTTTCAAACCCCAAAACACATTACGACAAAGATTAGTTCACCCCAAAGATCCAGTCCCCCGGTAAAAACAGAGTAATATAGTATATGCTGTTAAGTGTCAGGAGGACTGTGATCACTTATACATCGGGGAAACAAAACAGCCACTGTTCAAAAGAATGAGCCAGCACAGACGAGCTACTTCGTCGGGTCAGAACTCTGCAGTTTACACTCATCTATAGGCCAGCTGTCACTCTTTCAGGGATGAAGATGTTCTCATCCTTGATAGAGAGTAACATTGCTTTGAGAGAGGAGTAAAGGAAGCCATCTTTGTGAAGAAAAACCGTCCATCATTAAACAGAGGTGGAGGCCTTCGTGTCCAGTTGTCCTCCTCCTACAATGSTGTTATTGCAAGTATTACTCAGCCCCTTGTGAGCAAAAGGTGTGAATCAGGGCCCCAACGATAACCAACACAAAGAGGGAAAAAAGACAAAAACAACGGGACGTTGAACCCYGCTTGCACTCACTACATACACATAACAAAAAACACCAAATAACCACAGCAGAAGCATCCAAACCAATAAGTCAGGTGATGGGGCACATGACCCTCCATGAACAATAGAGCTAATCAAGCCTATTGTTAGGCGATG